TAGAAGAGTTTAGTTGGGCTTACAGTTCCAGAGGGATGTGTCCGTCACGACAAGGAAGTATCTGGCTCAGTGATCCCTAGAGCAGCAAGCTGAGAGCTCAGAACGGAAAGAGAACTCAACGCTGCAGGAGCTTTTTAAACTCTCAGGGTCTTCCACAAAGTCACGCCCTCTAAGCCTCCCCAGGCAGTCCCCACCCGGGGACCGAAGCATTTAAATGCCCAAGAGTGTGGGGGCCATTTCTCATTTAAATCACCACAGTCATTTATGGAGGTCCCCTGAGAAACAGGAAGTGGTGCAGAGCAAGGGATTACCCAGCTTCTGTCCTGGGACAGTGCAGGCTGGGCTGGCGAGCCCTCCAGCCATTGTCTGAGCGGCTGTCCTCATCTCTCTGGTCTGTTTTTTGATCACTTGTTATAGTTGGGGGCGTAGTTTGCTTGTTTGAGATTGGCTCTTTCTTTGGGTAATCCCGGCTGGCCTGAAACGAGCGCTTTTCCTCCTGCCTCAGTCTTTCAGGTTCTGCAGGACCAGGGAGCCCTCACAACTGGCTCCCACTGGGTCCTCTTTATCTGCCGGATGGAGTGAGGGTGTAATCTCCCTCCACGCTCAGCCTTCAGGCAGCAGAGACAGGGCAAAAGACTTCCGTGTGCGTGGTCCCAGGGCTGTGAGCAGAGGGCTCACTCTCCTGGCAGGACCAAGGCAAGGTGATTCGTGCATTTGTGTGAATGACCCAGGAATGTCCTGCAAGAAGATAAGGGGTGTCTGATGAGCAGAGCAGTCCATCTCAGAGTTTTGGGGTGCTTTCTTTCTTTTTTTTTTTTTTTTTTTTTTTGGTTTTTCGAGACAGGGTTTCTCTGTGTAGCTTTGCGCCTTTCCTGGGACTCACTTGGTAGCCCAGGCTGGCCTCGAACTCACAGAGATCCGCCTGGCTCTGCCTCCCGAGTGCTGGGATTAAAGGCGTGCGCCACCACCGCCCGGCATTGGGGTGCTTTCTTATTCGGTAGAAAATGTACAGTTTGTGGAGAAAGCAAGTATGTGCATGTCAGTTTTTGTTGTTAATGTCTGTAACTTTTCCATTGGAGAATGGAGCTGTGGACATGGATATATGTTTCAGTTTAAAGATGTCATACATTAGTGGAGTTAGGCCGGAGAGCCTTTCCAGCCTGAAGGGGACCTTTGTCGCAGGCACTAACCCACCTCCTCCATAAGGTGGCGCCATTCTGACATCGCTTCTCTGCCTGAGCTTGACTGCTTGCCGTGTGAGCCTTGTGCAATCAAATCCATAGGTAGGACTGAAGGCTGGCTAAGGGAGGGGTTTGTTTTGTTTCTGTCTCCTACTCAAGTCCAAACCGAAGGCTGAATTGTAGAGGTCGCAACTTTAAAGCAATACCATGGAGGAGAAGAGAGGAATTGGTGGGCCCCTGTGGTAAAAGGGCAGTGGTCATGTCTTCCTAAGTGACACTTTTGATGGAGCACAGCAAATCGTGTCTGGAATCCCAGGTGTAAGAGACTGTTAAATCTCAATAATAAAAAAAATAAATAAAGCCGATTCTTTCAGGCTTGGGTATTTGTATGTTTGATGCATAGCACATTAAATAAGACATTTGCGTGTGTGTACTGGTGTAAACCGTGTAACAGTGTATTTGTTGAATGATCAAGGTACTAGCAAACACAGAGGATGAGATTCCCCCAGCCAGCGGAGTCTGGAGTTGTATCTTTGAACCTGCCGGCACATAACATAGTTCGAGTATCACCGTTAATTACAGTTTGAAAGGGGCAGGGCCTGCCTCCCATCCCTGGTGGCCCATGCCGTAGAGCAGTGGATAGAGAAGGGCCGGCGCTCACCTGTTGGGGTCACGGCCCCTGTGGATCTGCCCGCATTTCCACACAGTCCCGTGATTGGTGGCCATGATCCTGTAATAAATAGCACGGTCCCTTCCTGACTAGAGTTGTCGCTATACTTTCTACTCGCTTAGTGACGTCTTTAGGAAAGTCTTTAACCAGGGCCCTCGGGTGTGCTGTTTCCTCCCCGTTAGACAAGGCAGGCAGCGGCTGTTAGTGAGCAGTGACTGTAGAGTAAATGCTCTTCTCCCCTTAGACGCAAAGGTGACAAGTTGCACAACACAGCGCGGATTTCCTTCACCTTCCCCCGTTCTCACTCTCACCCTTACCCAGAATCCTCTTGTCCTTCATTAAGGAAATTTGCCCCGTTCTTATCTTTTATCCTATCTTTCCAGAGTTCTCCTGGCACCGTAGAACAAAACATTGTAAAGTCATTTTCTTTCCAGGATTGGTGTCTGTGAGTTAGAAGGTCCTAAGAGTACTGAGGAAGTAGGTCGGACACGAAAAACAATGCAGTAGGAATAAATGCAGGCCGGGCGGCGGCGGCGGTGGTGGCGCACGCCTTTAATCCCAGCACTCGGGAGGCAGAGGCAGGCGGATCTCTGTGAGTTCTAGGCCAGCCTGGGCTACCGAGTGAGTTCCAGGAAAGGCGCAAAGCTACACAGAGAAACCCTGTCTCGAAAAACCACAAAAAAATAAAATAAAATAAAATAAAATAAAATAAAATAAAATAAATGCAGTCAGTTGTGAGCGGTTTGGGTCTGTGTTTCAGTCCTGAAGGTTAGAAGAGCGGTCTCCCCGGGGACACGGGCTTAGCCGTGGTGTGCGGCCACACTCGGTGCCACCCATGTGGCTTTGCTGTGAGCTGGTCTTTTTATCCCTGTGTCCTTGCCCAGGGCCTTCTAAGAAGGACACTGGGGATCTGCTTTTGAAGTTCCACATAATGCGCGTTTCCATAACATACTTGACTCAGTTTCCTAAACCTTCCCTTCTAGCGGAAGAACTCCATGGCAGGTGTCCAGAAAGCGCTTAAGAGTATGGTTTGAGCGTGTCTTGTGCCTCCCCGCTGAGTTCTGTGGTTAAGTCATTGTGGGTCCAGATGGGTGGGGACTCAGACTCAGGGTGAAGCAAGCTGATCATCTGAACCTCTTTTTGCAAACGATTAGTCACAGGGTATATTCGTTATTTTTCTGAGGTGGAGACGGAAATCCTGACAAAAAGAAATTGAAATGGGGACGGTTTGTTTTGACTGACAGTTCCGGAGGGGACAGGGCCATCCTAGCAGGGGAGGCAGAGCAGCAGGCTACGGAGACGGCCTGGCAGTCAGGAAGCTGACTGATCACGTTTCCTTAGCACACAGGAAGCAGGGAGACGGAGAGCAGGAAGTGGAACCGGGCTGGACAAACTTCAAGGCCACCCCACTGACTGTTTCCTCCAATGTGGCTCCGCCTACTAATGTCCCCAGAACCTCCCCAAACAGAATTGCCCACTGGGGACCAAGTTTCAAGCACATGAACCCACAGGGCCTTTCCACGTTCCAGCCACGGCACTCAGGCGGTTTTGGAATTGGGGTTCATTTGGGTCTTGACCCTCCCTACTCTCTACTTACTTTGCAGTTCTTGGACACTGACTTAGACTCTTTTTTGAGTTCACGTAATGATTTTTTTTAAGGTAGTCTAATATACATTTTCAACAGTCCCTGATCAATACACCAATGGCTTTGAAATGACGGAGTACCACGATATTCCTCTGTAATTTAAACATGATTAGCTGATGAAGGTTATGATCAATACATGGAGGGAAGATAAATTAATTGATATCATCCTTTCAGGGTGATGAGAAGCCTTTTAGAGGTGGGCCGTGACTGATGAAGCCGCTGCTTCATCTCTGGGAACCATTTTTTATAGATCGCATTTCCACTTAGTCACATTTAACACTATCATTCATTTGCGCGAAAGCCACGAGCTGTGCACACACCAGTTCCTGCTCAGAGTTGTGTTCATTTGGAAGTGAGATTATCTGTGAGCACCTTGTGGCCTCTGTCTCCTGTAACCACTGGTTCTGGGGTGCCAGAGTGCCTCGGAAGCAGCGGCATGTGCAGAGGCAAGGGCGGGGAGGTTCCTCCACCGAGACGTGCCCCCGTTCAAGGTACAAACTGCAGCCGCTCTCCTGCAGTGACACCCATTGGTGTAGGAGTGTTTTTCTAATTGTTGGCTTCCTTTGCCTTTAAATTCCGTATGCTTTATTGGCAAGCCTGTTTGCTGAGATGTTATGGCTGGTTGAATTTAGATTTGTATCGATTAAGATAAACTTCCAGTGGATGTGGTCCTATGTGAGAATTAAAAAAAAAAAGTCCTTGTTGTAATTATTCTTGCTTGAGTATAAGTCTACACAGCCTGAAAAAGTTACAAGTCATTCTTTAGGCAGTGCAAAAAAAGCCCTTTCAAATGGATTTGGTTCAGTTTTCCTTATCTGGGGTTACCTTTGAATAACTGGAAAACACTGGTTTATTAGGGTAGCCTATGTGAGGTGGGCATGCATTCTTGTTGCACATTCAAGTCCCCTTGAGGTAGTCCAAGCAGGCTGGCTGAAGTCCTCAGGGGTCAGGACTGGTCTGTTTTGCACCCTGTCTCACTGATGTGGCTTCCATCCCTGTGTCACCAACGGTCCTGGGTGGCTCCTGGCACCAAAGTGTCACATCTGTACATTTCAGAGAGATTAAGCCAAAAAGACAAAGAAGAAGGGGGCAAAGAGCAGCCCTCACCTGGAGACAAGTCCTGAAAGCCACATGAGCTTTCTGCCCTCGTTGCATTGGCCAGGCTTTATGTGTGCTCTGGTCCCATTGGCTGGGACTTATGTGTGTGCTAATCCCATTGCTCGGGGCTTGATGCTCTCTAAGCCCATTTACCAGGGCTTGCTTGTGCTCTGGTCCTGTTGGCCAGGGCTTATTTGCTTATGGACCGTATTTAGCTCCATAAGCTGGGTATGGGAATTCAGACTCCCGGGGAAATGTCCTATTTGTTCCAGTGGTCAGGTATCCTGATGAAGCTTGCTGTGGATGCAGGAATGGCAGAAGCCAGGCATCCTCAGAGGTCCCTGTGGTTCACCTCATATCTGGCCACCAGCCTCACATGGATGTCTCCTGTCTCTGTGTCCACTAGTTGCCCAGAAGATTGTCGCCACGAGGAAGAAGCAGCAGCTGTCCATAGGCCCCTGCAAGTCCTTACCCAACTCTCCAAGCCACTCCTCGGTGTGCTCCGCCCAGGTGTCAGCCGTGCACATCAGCCAGGTACGAAAGGTGGCACGGGAGGTGAGGCAGCGAGGGAGTGCCACGCCAGACGCGGGGCAGAGACTGGTCACAGCCAGTACCCAAGCTGTGGGCATCTGTTTTTCTTTTTCCAACTTCGTAAATAACAGCGTGTTTGTGTTTGACTTCCCAATTTCCTTCAGAAGCTGTTGAGGCCAAGTCGGCTTTATGGGAGTCAATATTTAATGTTCTCTTTGCACACTGCCTGTGTTATAAGGCATGCTGGCATGAGGTGATGCCAGGTGTGTGTAAGAAGTCTTTTTCTGTCCCACCTGCCAGTTCCCAAATAATGACAGGGAGACTTCTTATTAACCATGAAAGTTCGGCCTGTAGCTTAGGCTTGTTTCTAACTAACTCTTATAACTTAAAGAACCCATTTATATTAACCTACATTCTGCCACATGGTGTTATTACCTCTCTTCTATTGTGTATCTCCTGTTTCCTCTCTGTGTCTCCTGGTGTCTCTTTCTTCTCTCTGGAGTCCTCTGTGTCCCCAGAAGTCCTGCCTAACTACTGGCCATTCAGCTCATGATTAAACCAGTCAGAGCAATATATCTTCACGCAGTGTACAAATAGCCCACAACAGACGTATGATGCCATCTTGGCTGTGGATCGAAATCACAGGCTTTGCTCTTGGTCAGTTTATAGGGTGAACAGTAGTTAATAAGTCTTGCTGGCTAAGAAATGCACTTACACTTAGATCTGGAAGTCACTTATAACTCCCACCTCCTTTAGGCCCCGTAGAGGGCCTCCCCTAAACAGTGTTGCTACATTATTAACCGAGAAGCAAGGTGCTTGTCCCAGGGATCCGCCCAGGACCCCCGTAAGGAGCTGGTGGCTTGCTGGTCCTTGTGTTGTGGTCCCCGCCCAGGACCCCCGTAAGGAGCAGGTGGCTTGCTGGTTCTTGCGTTGTGGTCAGACCTCCTTAGGGGAGTCCCACTGCTGCTTCTTCCAGACGGCACAGTGAGAAGGTTTTCTTGCGAGTGCTCAGTTGGCCCGAGAAGCCTTCCCTGGTGCGCTTACCACTCGGGCCTGGGATGGTCTAGCCCTGAACACCTTCACGATGGGTGTCCTTGGTGTTGGAGTGATCTAAAATCATTTTAGGCTAGTACTCGGATTTGTGAGATGTCATTGAAGAATGATTGCGTGGTGTTCTGAGTGGCCATTCCTTCTTCATCCCAGGAGGAACAGTGAAGCCCCCATACGGCCATCTTGAACTACAGTTTTGTTTTTCAGAGGAAGAATAATTGTTGGTTTGTTTTTTTCCCCCATTTTTTTTTTCAAAGTTCGCTGCGTGTGGTAACTCACATTTCTAGTCTGAGTAGTCTAGAGGCTGAGACAGGAAGATTGCTCCAATTCAAGGCCAGCACGAGCTACTTAGTGAGTGTTAGGTCAGCCTAGGCTACAGAGTGCGACTCTGAAGCGGAAAGAAGATTTCAAGCTCCATGATGGAGACCTGAGGTGCTTTTTTCTCAGACAGAGCAACGCTTGCTTCCGGCAACGCTTGGTCTTAGTAAACCGGCCCCGCACAGGGAGTGGACACCTCGTCCCCCAGACGCTTTGTTGTCACTCGCTGTTTTCTTGCTGTGACCCTGCTTGGGTGGTTTTTCCGCTGCTTCTTTCACAGAACGTTGATTTTGTTTTTTCGTTTGTTGAATTTTTACAGACAAGCAACGGAGGCGGGAGTTTAAGTGACTACTCCTCCTCCGTCCCCTCGACCCCGAGCACCAGCCAGAAGGAGCTTCGGATCGATGTCCCCCCCACTGCCAACACCCCAACGCCTGTCCGGAAGCAGTCGAAGCGCAGGTCCAACCTCTTCACGGTGAGTGTCCGTCCTCGGGACCAGCCTCTCAGTGTCACCCGGCATCTCAGTCACAGGAAGAGGTCCGTCCCAGGGTCCAGTGATGGTGCAGAATCCAAACGAAATTGAACGAGAGTCACAGTGACTCGAGTCTGAGGAAGCTGTGAGAAGAAAAGAAGATTGGAGTCCTGAGCAGAATGGGGATTACCCGGTGGAGACTGAGTGCAAATCCTGAGGAGTTTGTGCGCAGCCTTTACCCTCCCAGCACCTTCATGGTCTCACACTAGAGACCTGTGTTATCCATGGAGAGGTAGTGAAGGTCTTGGGGGATTCCCATTGCATCTGACTAATCACAGAGAGGCCCTAGCCATCGCCCGGTCATCTGTTGGGGACTGAGAACTGACCCCAGGGGTGGGCATGGGATTAAGACTTACCTTTCCTTCAATATTGCAACCCCACTCCTGTCTCCAGGGTTCCAAGGGACTCCCTATCACAGGCTTCTCTTGGCCTGTCCTCTAGGGACTCCCTATCACAGGCTTCTCTTGGCCTGTCCTCTGGGGACTCCCTATCACAGGCTTCTCTTGGCCTGTCCTCAAAGTCCTCCAGGGAATGTCCTGGATTGGAAATCTGAGCTTTGATTTAGATACCCTGAGTCCAGGGTGGGTCCAGGCATGTGTACTTTTACAAGCTCTTTGGGCTAATGGGTACAGATATTTTCTGAACTTCTGAAGAGGCAAACCTACTGTTTCCTGCTTCTTATGTCCAGCAGACATCACCAATCAATCATGGATGGCTTTGCAGTTCAGCCCAGAGCTATTGTGGTGTGATTTTAGGACGTCTCTCTCTCTCTCTGGCCAGCTCTGTGCAGTGTCTACACTTAAAGCCTGTACAAATCATTTGGCCTCTCGTTTTGGTTGGTCCCTATTGACTGAGTCACAAAGAAGTTTCTTATTCCTATCTTGACCTAAAGGAATAGCTAGAAGTTCATTGTCTGACTTGATGCCTTCAACTGAAGATGGTCACATGATGCTGTGGGTACCTGCCAGATCTGTGGGTGCCTCACTCTTTCTTTGTGACTGTCTCTGTTAGAACATTCATGCCCCTGTCTGCTGGTGACAGAGGGTCCCCCTTTGAGCCATCCTGTCCTTTCCTTTGCAGCTCTGACAGACACTGCTGGCTGCTGTTTGACCTTAGACACATCACTGGACCTCTCTGATCTGGGAGCAGTAGCTATTCTTCAATGGGGCTGTCAGCTGGGAGCACTCCCCAGAGAGGCAGGGGGTTCTTAGTGGTATTATTTGTTGGGGGGGTTTTCCACTGCTATTGAAGTCAGGAGCATGGACACCAGTGATAGTCAGCAGACGTAGTTGGAAGGGAAGGGCCGCTGGGGAGGCCTGAAGGGGTCATTTTGGCTTCTGTACTTACAAGCAAGTATCTGATATGTTACAGTAGTAACATGTGGCACGGATGTAAGGTTGTGCCTTATAAAGTTTTTTCGACACACAGCATGAGCAGTCACATTAACAGTTGGTTTCTAGTTGGGTGCTCAGAGCAGGACTGTTGGTTAAGAAGGTGCCCCCTCCCCAAAAGGTGCTCATTCACTTGTGACTCAATGGGTCCAGAAAAACCAGTTACCGAAGCCACAGCTGGCTTCAGAGGCTTTGGGCTCCAAGAATGTACTAGTCCAAGAGTGGTGGATGAGAAGTTCTGTATCCTCCACGACCACATTTATTAGGAGTGGCTGTGGAAGCCCAACCTGTGATTCCTGCCTAGCACCTCAGTTCACATTACCTGTGTTTTCTACCACATGAAAGAAATATGGAAACCAGGAAATACCACTTTAAACAGAACTGTTTGTAAGGAGAGCCTGTCTCGTCTATCCAAAAAAGATCCTGGGGCCTGGATGATTGACAACTCTCATGACCTGGATGATTGACAGCTCACAGAAGGACTCTTAGTTTTAAGATCTGAAGAAGAAGAAGAAGAAGAAGTGTCTAGGAAGTATGGTGGCCAGAGCTGGCCACACTGGAAGAAAACAGAGGCCAGGAAGCCACAGAGCTACAGGCCTTACTGAAGCTGGTGAGAACTCGGTGACTGGAAATCCCAGTGAATTGCATCGTAACCGCCGGATCTTAGATGCCTCCGGCTGCGTGTCTGCGACGTGTTTGATCTCTTCCTCTTTAGCATCAGAAGACAGTTTGGGAGTATAGCATTCGGAAAGTTGAATCCAGCTGCCCAGCTAGGGTCATGGAACAGAAGTTTGGGGTCGTGCAGGGATTTAGTGCTGCGCCGGGTTTGTGTTGTGGCGTGTAAGGATCAACCAGCTGAAATTCCAGGGAATGGCCGACGTGGAGGTTGTCCCCAGGTTTGGCTTTGCCGCTGGGCAGAATGGCGATGGAGGTGGGTGATGAGCATTTTAAGTTCAAGGACTCGGAAGCATCGACTCCACTAGATGTCAGTGTCATACAAGGAGTGAAATGAAGGCGAGTTAATCCTGAAATCTAGGCAATTAAGAATCCAGATTTCAGTAGGAAACAGCCTCTTTAAGTATTTCCAGTTTTGCAGTCTTTGTATCTGTTGCTGTGGGTGACTTTTGACTAACGTTGTCAAAGTGTGTATGTGTTTAGACCTGTCAACAGCTGTGCCAGATGCAAACCATCTTAGTTACTGTTCTGCAGCCCAGAATGGAGATGTGCAGCTGGTGGGCACCGTCCACTTATCTATTAGCCCATTCCAAAGGGGCTGGAGGTCAGGTGTAGGCACGTAGTTCTCATCCTGCCCCACCTATCCTTTAAAGTGGTTCTGTGCCACAAAGGGATAACATCTCCAGCTCTCAGATGTTTTCAATTGCAAACATACAATAAATCCCATGTATTTTGTATGAAATTATCTAAACTAAATCTCTCCAGTCGTAGCAGGTTATGCATTACTTTGCAGCGGCAATTATGTTTGCCTTACCAGCGGGAATTTAAACTGTATCATGTTTTGTTAATTTTTTATGTAAGGCCATTGCCTTGAGAAATGAAACATTAAAAGATGACCCACTGCATGTCTGCTTTAGAAATTCAGAGTTTTTTAGAACAGTTCATTTAGTAGCCTGATTTACATGTAGATGAAATATTTTATTGAATAACATTTTGAAATATATAAGAATTAGAAGAAAAAAACCCTGCGTGTATTACGTCTCTGTAATAATCACAGGGTTGAGCAGTTTGCAGACACTGTTTCATGAAGAACACACATGCTCAGTGGAAGTCCAGACCTCCCCATCCATTCCTCTGCCTCTGTTCCAGGGCTTGCCATTTACCTGAATGAGTGTGTATGTGTTGCCTGCATTTGTGGGTGTTAAGCTAGCAAGGCTCCCTAACTTCTGTATGGCGTTGCTTTATGTCTTTTCTGGCCTTTAAAGAATTGGGTCTTTATGTGGTGTTTTAAAAGCTTGCTGTGTGATGCTGATTCCATTACACAGTTAAGTACACCAGTACCCAAAGATTGCCCAGAACCTGGACCTACTCAGAGAAAAAAGGACAGTGAAATCCACAGTGTAAAGGGGTTGACACTTGGTGTCTTGTGGAGGACAGGAGCCCTGAAGCCTGGCACGGTGTGTTCCATCTGCTCCTGCCTTCTTGGTTGAAGCTGAGAGAGCAGGTTCTGTTTGATGGGCGGTGTTGCCAGACATCCCTCTCTGCCCAGTGTACAAGGGACTTGGTTTATTATGTATAGGGAGCTAAACACGTTTGAAATGAAGTAGATAATCCTTCGCTTCCCTCTGTCCTCGGTGTCTGTGGGGCTCAGCAGTCATTCTGGTGGCCTGAAGTCTCCCGAAGTGCGGCGGGTGTGATAAACTCTGGTTCTGAACAGTGCGGCAGGCTGGATCTAGCAATGGATACCAAGGGTTGCCGGCGGCCTCTGATGAGCAGTTTTGGCAGAGGGGGGGGACACAGGACATGCACCACTGGCGACTCTGTGAAGTGGGCAGGACAGCAAGGAGTCTTCCCTCGGGATTCGGAGGTTCGGGCTTTCATAGCTAGTGGATTGGGTTGTGGTTTAGTTGTTGGATTCCGGTCTCCTGGAGTCAGCCTGCTGGAGGCGGCAAACCCTCTGCCCAGAAGCTTGTTGGAGCTCTCTCCTTTAATTGTATGGCACTTTCCACAAAAATGGTGTCCTTGTTGGTGGATTTCCTTTTTTCCAATGTGTATCCTGAGTTTCTGTCTCATTTTTCTCTGACCCTGTGATTGTGCGAGCATGGTTCCTGTTTCTTTACATGTTTGGAGCTGTGTGCAGCGACTCTGGCTGCTGCTTCCTGCTTCCGAGGAATCTGGAATTCTGCTCTGAGAACAGCGACTAGGGACAGATGCGCCGCCTCCAGGAAAATGTTCATTTTTTTAAAAATGTTTGTTTTGTTAATTATTCTGCTTAATGGAGAATAATGAAGATGGATTTTCAGATTTAGGTATTTAGAACTGATAAAGTTCCCAAAATGCCCTTTATGCTCTTCATTGATTCAGAATTTCTAAAATGTTGTGGCTGTGAGCCTTGGAACTTAATTTTTTAATTGGAAACCTCATGTGCCCACCTTCCCCAGAACTGACGTGGGCAAAGAACTGGCTGTGTGGAGTCTTGCTATGCATTACTAATGGAAGAGTAAAGAAACTAAAGGACTTTCTGTAGCATAGCTGAGATCCATGATGAAGGCACAGGGGCGTGGGGCACTGAGGAGGCATTTGATAAATGCGGAAGCCCCTGTAATCAGCTAAGAGTGTGCTTTCTCACTTGCACGGCCAGGCGGCAAAATCCACCTTTGAAGTGCCTGCGCCGGGTGATATCACAGGCACCTTCCTCTGGGTCTTTCGGCAGTAGTCCGTCCTGGAATCTTAAGTCCATCCCATCAGTCCTTGCTTGTTTTATATCTCAGGGCCTTTGCGTTTTTGGACACTGTTTTAGAAGCATCATCTGCTCTATCCCACATCCTTTTGAATCTGAATTTCATTAGCTGCTCCCAGCAGCACTGGACACCACCGAGTCTCTCCGTTTCATATATCATCTCAGATTTGAAAAGCACAGGAAAATGTTTCTCCATTTTCAATATTGCGTGAGTAATGTTCCCATTGAAAAGTAATGGAGTGAAGTTGTCACTTGTCAGCACCGTTATTAAGGAGGACGAGTCTCAGATCTTTCTCTCATAATAAAATAAATCTGTCAGACAATCACCATGCTTACGCTTGCTCATGCCAGCAGGAGACGGGACATGGACAGTGGCGGGCGCTCCTGCAGCGTTCCCCAAGTGCCCTCCTCCCCACACCTGCCAGCTACCGGGCAGTTCACATGGCATCAACAATCCGTCCAGGATAACTGCCTCGGGAACCTGGCAAACAAACAGTTGCTCGTGGTGCCCCGAATGTTGACATTTTGTCAGAAAGAGATTTTCCGTGTTTGCCTCCTTATCTTTTTGTTGCACAGTAGCCTGCTCTAACTGTGAATTGCTGCTTTCTAACCATCCGGAAGCAAGGAGAGGAAGCATTGCTTGCCCCTTGAAACAGCTCGTGGGGGTGGTGGACCAGTAAGTCGGTCGTCCAGATGTTCAGTTAACCCGTACGCTTCCGTCGTTGGGCTTCCAGATAACCTTCGAGGACCTCATCCTCCTCAGCTGTGCTCACTGCAGCTCTGGAAGGTTTTCTCGCTGGGCGTTGCTTTCCTGGATGGTCCATTGGTTTCTAGTAATTGCGTTTTGAACTCTTTAAAAAAGAATTAAAAGATAATTTCGCAGTAGAAAAGTCAGGGGGAAAGTTTAGAAAATTCTCTTTGGAATGATGAGTCAGTGCAGAGGAACAGCTGGGGGGCGGCGGTTCTGAATCGCGTTGGCGGGAGCTCTGGACATCGGGGCGAGACCCGTCTGGCAGACACAACCCTCGCCCAAATGCTAACTTTACTTTTGCTTGCTTGCAGTCTAGGAAAGGGAGCGACCCAGACAAAGAGAAGAAAGGCCTGGAGAGCCGCGCGGACAGCATCGGGAGCGGGCGAGCCATCCCAATTAAACAGGTACACTTGTCCCCTTCCCCGCCTCGCCGGAGACACACCTCGGTGCAGCCCGAGCCGGTGCTGGCTCGGGCACCAGGGTTTGTTTGATGTGCTCTGTTGATGAATGTAGAAGTCACTCACTTGACATCAATTAGAAGGGGTTCCTGTGAGTATTAAAATGGGATCATTAGAATAAGAAGAGGGAATAGGACAACAGCTCTAATGAAGTGCGCTCTGCCCGCCTGCATATGGAGTGTGTTTCCATGCCGCACTGGCTTCAAAGGCTGCCTTTGTAGCACGGCTTTGATTGGGCCGCTGGCCGCCAGGCGACAGGGGTAAATCAGATCGCTGTAGAAGAACCCCTTGTGATCACAGGAATAGCCTGACGTGGCCCTAATTTGCTCTTGCAGACGGACATCTGAACACTGTTTCAGGCTGGTCTGTAACAACGAGGCAATTAGTTGTAATAATCATCGCTGGCATGTCAGCTGTGCGCTCTTGTTTGTAATTTGCTAATGAAGGGATTGTAACTTTGATTAGGTTCAGTTTCATTTAGACCTTATTATACACAGGAACATTTACAGCTGTAATGTGGGGCCTTAATTAAACTTCCCCATTACACAACAGGACTTGAATTCAAGCATTTGTTTTGGCCAATGTTGCTAGCCTGAAATGGGTTTTCATTAGCCCGGAAACCGGCTCCTAAATTGCTTCACGTCTCTAGCAAGACACACTGGAATTCACGTGTGACGTCTTTTGCTGCTTCATTTCCGAAACAATAAGAATAAAGAGTTCAACCCTGCTCCGCGGCTCTGGAAATGTCATCTTTTTTGGTTGATAAAGAAAGCCAATTGATTTAGAGTGTGTTCTGTTTGGGTGGGGGCGGGAAATCTGTGAGCAGGAAATAGCTCTGCCTTCCATGGATGACGCTGGTGGCCCATTCGTAGCTCTGGTTGATCTAGGGCGTCCATCGCCTTTTCCATAGCTGCCACCCAGCTACACTTGGCCTGTGCGCGTGGGCTCTGAGGGAGAGGCAGTCTTCATGCAGATGTAGCGGGCTCTCCTCAGCCGTGCAGGTCTCACCTGTTTGCAGCTAATGGCTGCAGCCCTGGTGAGAAGCTGGACCATTTCAGACTGAAGATGTGTGAGTTCAAGAGCCACAGATGGCTGAGAAGCCAAGACTACTGCAGTCCCGCCCTCCAGCTGCCAGCCAGGGTGGCCTGTGTGCCACATGGACCCTCTGCCCACAAGGCAGTGTGAGCCGTGACCCAAGGGAGCAGGGAGGCCTACAGGTTAGTCAGTGCTGTTGTGCCTCTGCGCAGGACCACCCTTACTGCACTGGGTGACAGATGTGGGGCCAGCTTGCAGCACCTCGAAGAAAAATTTCACCTTCCCTGCAAGCAGCCTCCCTGGTGATGGGCGCTGTTTTCCTCGTAAACAGGTTTATTACTTCTGAGGGCCGCGTACATCGTTGTTGACTCATGTTGCTTATTTGATTCTGATCCGACTCCACACAGAGCCACTCTAATGTAAGGTTTCTGTTCAGTGTTACTTCGTGTAGGGCTGTAAAAACTATGGAGCTGTTTTTCTTTCGAAAAGCTGGTGTTGGGACATTGAAGAAGATTGCTACTTCATGTATATCATCTTCCTGGTTCCTGTCCATTCCTGGCTCAGAGAGAGAGAGAGAGAGAGAGAGAGAGAGAGAGAGAGAGAGAGAGAGAGAGAGAGAGTGTGTGTGTGTGTGTGTGTGTGTGTGTGTGTGTGTGTAAGGGGGGAACTCACTTTCTCAGCAGGAAACTTGGGGAGCCAGCCAGGCCCTGATGTAATTGGATTTAATTTGTTCCTTGCTCATCTTTGGACAGGACTGGCTTCTCCACCCGGATTTTCAGTTTCCCAAGACCGGAGGTGACAGTGCAGTGTAAACTGCAGGCCCTGCGTTCCCTGGGAAGCCTTGCACTCTCGGATGCTCATGACATTCTTGTTGAAATCCAAACCATGGTTTTCTCATGACTCCAGGGCACAGAGTACTTGGTTTCATCCACTGTGAGGAGCCATGGACTAACTCTTACCGGGGTCTGCTCCCAGCGTCATGTGATCCCACTGAAGTTGATGCTCAGGCCTCACACCCCGCATCATGTCATACCTAGACATTCTGCAGAGAATGTTTCCATCCATCTGTGATGTTCCAGGTCCCCCAGTCAGAGCCATCCTGCACTTTCTGTGGAGTAAGGTAGAGGTTGTAGGTGGTCTGAATAGTTACAGTGACCTACCGCTGCATGCTGCGTATGCTCACATTTTCAAGGCACGTGGACCTTTTGAGAATAGCTGCACTCCTCACTGTCCTCACCCTGCTGTGGTGACTTCTGCATGGAAACGAGAGGATTGAGAGGGCGGAGCCTCGGGGGCAGGACCTGCCTAGAATATTCTAGAAAGTGCACAGGTGGACTTCTTAAATCAATGAACATTTAAATGAGAGCTTGTTTTTTTTTTTTATGTAGAGTTCTGCTTAACCCTTAGCATGGCAGAGTGGGGCCATTGGGTTGTTTTGATTGTAAGTTAAGCAGGATGAACATTCAGGACTAGGTAGCTGGGAAGCCAAGGACCTCACATCTGTGTTCTTTCCACTGCGCGGTGACAAAAAGCCTCCGAAGCAGAGTTACAGTTTAGAGGTTGTTGTTTTCATGTGTGTGTGCCTGTGTTAGGTTTCTGTGGGCCATGTGCATGCAGGTACTCACAGAGGCCAGAAGGGGGCATTGGATCCCCTGGAACTGGAGTTACAGGTGGTTGTGAGCCACATGTGGGTGCTGGAACCCAAACTTGGGTGCTCTGTGAAAGCCTTTAGTGGTCTTAACCCCTGAGCCATCTCTTCAGCCCTGAGTTGGAAGTGTTAAATCAAACATGGGAACTCCTCTCACACAGAAGGACCTCGTGCTGTGTAGAAGGAACAGCTAAGGCTAGGCATGTAGCGGTGTGTTACTGCAGGGACGCTGCAGGAATGTGTTACTGCAGGGACGCTGCAGGAATGTGTTACTGCAGGGACGCTGCAGGAATGTGTTACTGCAGGGACGCTGCAGGAATGTGCGTCTGTCCTCAGGGGAAATCATTGCTGGTCATTTGCAACTACCCGCTCTGTCCCTCTCCAAAGCAGCAGAGTCCTTGGTCTTCAATGAATCCTGCTTGAGACTTGTCAGAGCCCCCCCCCCCCCAGCTGCTGGCCCACTGGCCTCAAGGCAGAGGAGTCACTTCGGAAGCTCCTGTTCTTGAACACTTGGTGCTGGGGCCATTGGACTCTTCCGCCCTCCGAGGGAATCCTGCAGGTGCTTAGAAACCGAGGAGGGCGAGCTGCGTGCCTGCGACCTCCCTCGTGGCTGTACAGCCTGCCCACATGCACCGGTCCCCTTGTTTACCTTGTCACAGGTAGCTGGCCCCGTCACCGTCACCAGTGACTTTATTTCTCTCTTCCCCAATCAAAGGTTCCTCAAGAGCAGGGAATTGTTCTCTGGGCAATAACTTCATTTCTTCAGGCTCTAGTTCCAACTCCTCTTTTGTCCCGTCTGGGTACCCAGAGTGGATGGGTTTAGAGAGTCCTGTTTCTTTTCTATTACTATTGGAGTAGAAATTAAAAAGCAAAGCAAGGAAAATAAAAGCCAGCGGCCCAGCTCAGCGGCCAGTGGGCTTGTCACGTATTAATTTTTCATGGCTGTGGCAAGTTGTACATACATAATCACTTGATTGCAGTGGGAGTTGGGGAGCTCCTATAGTGTCATTTGCATAAATCTTGTTAAGTCAATGGCAGTTAATGAAGTACAAATGAGCCCGGAGAAGGTGACATGCAAATCGTGGGTGGCAGATGGGAGGTCTGTTTGGGGGACGGCAGCTGTACTCTCTTTTCTTCTTTCTCTTTAGCGTTTTTTAATCTCTATCTCTGAGTGCAGATACACAGCCCTAAGCCTCCTCCCCTCCCGTGGACTCCCAGCCAGGGCCTAACGCTCATGCTGAGAGTCAGGGATGGCAGGAGCATGCCTCACACACGCGTACCCAGGAGCAGGCATGAGGTCACGTTAGCTCGTCAGACTCCCACACTTGAATTTGGATTCCGGTTGGTGGGGACAAACAAAAACAGGCCTGCGCAGTCGTTTCCGAGATTCCAGACGTGAAAATACCGTTTCCGCTTAGCTGGCTTCTGTTTGGGGATCTTTTCTTCACTCTTCCTGCAGGCCAGCTGCAGGTAGATAGGCTCAGGGTCCCCTCCTGTTACCATACCCAGAGTGGCTTTGATGTTGAAATCAGGCCCCGGTGAAGACCCCACCTAGTCAGTGCAGGGTCCCCACAGGCCCGTCTCAGCTTTCCCTGGGGTGTCCTTGCTTGGGGGAGGTTTTGCAAAGCCCTGCAAAACACTGCTTCTGCCTTCTGCTTTTGGAAGCCCTGGGCTTGTTATTTGATTCAGATTTTGGTATTTTGAGAGGATTTAGACTTCACCACAGAACCCCAGGGAGGTGTGTGTAGAGAGCCTGAGCTCTGAAGAGGAGGGCGCCGAGTCCTCACTGCCCACATGATTTCATTCCTTGGGGTTTCTCCAGGCAGTTTCCAGTTCTTGGGATCTTCATCCTCCATCTCTACTATGGCTCAGAGGACACATCCCTGCAATTGAGAAAGAACTTGTCTTGTGGACCTCAAGTCCAGGAGGCCGTTTACTCTCCGATCAGTGGTTACCCTCGTCCTAATATCATCGTACCTGCCCCTCCACCTTCCCGCTCTGCCCAGAAGGCTTGAGTGTTGGTATGCTGTGACCTGTCAGTGCTGTGGGGGCATTAGTTACTTTTCTTACCATGGTGACAAAGTGTCCCCCAGAAGAACCCAAGGGAAGGAAGCATTGTTGATTCTGGTCATAGCTCCAGGGTGTGGTCCATCATGGCAGCAGGAGTGTGGGGCAGCTGGTCACATTGTATCCTTAGCAAGCAAAGAGAGACCAAGGCTGGTACTCAGTTCTCGCCTTCCTTTTTTCTTACTTCTGGAATCCT